AATTTCATACTGTCTTGTTTTGCTAATATAATCAATATAATATAACTGCATATCTCGTACGCTCAACAGTGCAATGCGATATTAGCGGCCATATAATATTATAAGGATTTAAGTTATATATTGTGTAAAAATTTTATTTGCGTTATCAATGCAACTTTATTTATTATGACATGTTATTTATCATTTTTATTATATTATCATCTAATGTAAAGTTATGTAGAGTGTGATACCGCAAACCAAATACTATTACTAATTCCTATACATGAATTTATGTATTATGTTATAGGGAATGAAACCCGGGACAAGAATACCTTTATTAGTGATACGTAGATAATAGTAGTTAAAGACAAAAATACCCTTAAATTTACGCAATTCTTACATTACAATTCATATATTATTCACCACATGACAATCATTGTTGTTATTCACTATATGAACAATCTTCATGAATCATTATGATTTTCGCATTATATTACCTAACCATAAACCAAACCACTCTTTAATGGTCTGCTTCAAAGTTATATAAACAAATAAAATGACACAGCCCCCTAAATCCTAATATATGAAATGTAACCAAAGATCGAAACAACCCGTTATATGTGAGGAAATATAACTATCTCTATCTGATCGGAACGATCCAAGGAAACAGGTCAAAATTTTTAAGGAGGTGGTGTATGGCATGGGGGGCAAAAAGTATAGTTGCCGTTGGGCAGTGGAATAGGGTAGCAGCAGGGATGTTACTAGTGGCCAATGACTAGAGATAACAAGAAATGCAGCAACACCAGCAGCTAGATCGTGTTTCATGAGTCAGGAGTATGTGCGAGAGACAGACCAATGACAAATTTTTAGGATTTAGATGTCGTTAGTCTGCAATGCATATCTAATTCTATTTACGAGTATTTTTTGTATATATATAAATACTGAGTTCTACCTAATTCGTAACTGTATCCTTTTGGAAACAAGTTATCCTATAATTAATTATCCCGAGATTGTTATAATGTTCGGTGTTTGTCCTGATTTTCTTGTCATATTTGGTTTTTCTATCTGTTGAAGGAAAGCGCAACATATTTACTATAATTGAGTTTTTTTTTTCTTAGAAGGAAATTATAAATCTCCCATATTGGCTAGTCCCTTTTTTGGGAGTCTTGTTTAGGGGGATAACTTTTCGGAACAAGTGTTAGTGTGTCACTTATTGTTCTCGATATTTTGTACTCTCTTTTATATAGCAGATTGCTCATCTTCGCCGTGGACGCATGTTAATTGACTGAACCACGTTAAATGTTTGTGTCTTTTTTGGTGTATTTCTCTTTTGTTTCTGATTTATCGTCGTTCAAGGTTTGCTTTTCTAGCTTTCGCATGACACCTGATTATTTCAATCCTAACACTTAGGGATTAAAAGTAATACTACAATCCCGGGATAACTAATTTTTGAATTAGTTATACTACGATTTTATCCCAACCAAACGTGAAATAAACTCATCTCAAATGTAATCTCAAGAAATTATCTCTTATCCCTCGTACCAAACGAGCCCCTTATAATATCAATTGCACATTGTGGGGACAGCCATGGGAGAAAGAGATGCCTTTTATGCCTCCGTATATCATTGGCATTGACTCGCTTGTCCAAATCCCTTTGGAAAGTTCCCTTTTTAATGTCTTTTTATGGGGATTCTAACACCTTTCTGCCCCTCGTCTCAGCCCCACCATCCCACAAAAAAGCCTTATTTTTTTCTCTCCATGTCGGAGCCCTTTAATGTCAAGTTTATTAACAATGTCTTTGTTTGCTGACTCTATACCAGAAGCTCAGTCCTTAGCTCGTGAGATATTCACATCATGATTCATAAGTAACAACTGAATCAAGAAAAAGGAGTGAAAACAAGAATCTGATTCATTTCTGTTTTGAATACAAATGAGTACAATATGGGCACATCAAGAGAACCGTGACTGTTTCCAATATTATCAAAAATCGATTGTACTCTTCTCAGTAATCATAAATGACTTTTGTCACATATTATTGCTTTATGGACAGTCTTTCTGCATTGAAACTTAGAAAGAACTAGCTACTGGTACGTGGATAAACTTGAAACAGTGTTTCACACTGTAATATTTTCAACTTACTTAATTAGTGCTAGTAGTTTGTAAATTAATTTTCAACTTCTTAATTTAAGCTCCTGGGCGTGCACATAACTAATAATTACAAACAATTGGTTAATATTGATGGCGACAAGAAAATTAAGCTTATGTTACACGATCTTCATTTGGAATGTGGAGTCGGTAACTACGTTTAATCAAGTTAGTACTTTCTTTTAAATTTTACTTCTAATTTGTCTTATTCCACCATTTAGATTGAATTTCGTGAAGAACACAAAACTATTGATTCTCTGCTTGATTTTTCGAAACTGTTAATTTCAGTAAATGTCTATTTACTTCTGTAACTATAGCAGTGAAACACATCAGATTTTTGTTAGTTTAATTTTTGTTTGACCATTTCAACTAGAATTGTGCTGATGAGAGTTTCTTGAGAGAGGTACAAAGGTATCAAAAATCGGATATTTCAATGAAATTAAATCAAGGAAATACAGGGGAATCTAACTCATTTTTAATGCCTAAGATACCAACTACTACATTTTCAAGAAAATCTCAGTAGCTTGAATCTCTGTGCACCTACTAAGCAAAATTACTAGCAAAATATACTGGGCATGTCTGTGTTTTTTTGTAATCCACAATTTACAGCATATCAATAAAACAGCTCAACTATTTATGGAACCACAAGGCCTTTCTGTCAGATTCATTTGAAAATAGATGCTTCACTTGCTCCACTAAATCATAGTACATATTTCTTTATGTGATAATACACTTTTTAACTATCTTCTGCCTGCCACATTGGGAGATGCCCAATCCGAATCAGTTCATATAAAAATGGACAATAAGATAAAATAGAAGTTTCAGTTTTTCTTTCTTTTTCTCTTTTTTCGGTTTTGTTTTTAACTCATTACTAGGACCACAGGTTTCCAATTTCTGCTGTTGCTCTTAAACAATTATAAAGGGAGCCCGATGCACTAAACTTCCGCTATGCGCGGGATCCAGAACACAAGAGTCTATTGTACACAGTCTTACCCCGCATTTCTGCAAGAAGCTGTTTTCCCGGCTTGAACATGTGACCTGCTGGTCACATAACAACAACTTTACCAGTTACGTCAAGGCTCATAAATAATTAATAATATGGTAATGGTGGACTTAAATCTATTATCTAAGAGGGTGTTTGGCTAAGCTTATAAGCTGGACAAACTGGCTTATAAGCACTTTTTGGCTTATTCTACGCGTTTGGTAAAATTAAAAGTGCTTATAAGTTAAGTGCTTATAAGCCAAAAATAAGCCAAAAGTCATAAGTTGGTCTCCCCCAGCTTATAAGCACTTTAAGTTTGACCAAAATATTTATTATTCTATCCCTAAAATACTTCTTTTTAAAACAAAACTCTTCGTATACCCAGTTCTTCAGCTGCATATTATTAATTTCAGCATTTTTATCCAAACACGTAACTGCTTATTTTTTAAATCAGTTTCAATACTTAAAAGTGCTTATCAGCACCTAATGCTTATCAGCTACTCTAAATCAGCTAAGCCAAACGGGCTCTAAGTCCAAGAGAATGCAGTAAACTTATGTAGCAAAGATCAAAACTTTGATCTACACACGCAAATATACAACTCAAATTCATTTTGTATTTGAAGCTGAATTAATTTTTTAACTAATTATTTCTCAAGATCACTAAAAATCAAGAAAGTTGAAAGGAAAATGTAAGTGGCATTAAGAAATCACTATCTTCTCTGCTTCCTTTGTACAGTTTTTGGTTTCTTTCTGCAAAAAGTAATGAATCATATTACAATTTATTTCTGGAAAACTGTTCCTTTGTTGCTCTTCAAAAGTAGCTATACAAGAAAGAAGCTTTTCTATTAAGTAGTTGAACATCAGGACAAAAACCAAAGGCCTGATTGATGACTACATTTAGCGAATAGTATAGCTCTTTTTCTTTTGTCTCCTTCTTGGAAAAGGTCAAGTGTTAAGGTCCCTCTATAAGCATATTTTATTTTCAGGATTCTATTGACAAACGTTAGTCTCTTTGGTACTCAAGGACAATTAGGTATCTTCTTTGCCTTCTCTTATTAGCCTTTAATAAAAAGAAGATTTAGACAAAAGGAACCCCACAAAAATTCATTTCCTTCAAGCATCCAATGTTCCCTTTAACCCCTTCCTTTTCATCTCTTTTCAGGTATGGCACTACTTTTTTTCTCTTTTAGCCTTATATATATGTTAGTAAAAAACCTTATTTCAGATATAGACATGGTACCTTTCCATTACTGGCCCTTTTTTGTTATACTCTACTTGGTTAGCCACATTTAAAGACCCCCTCATGTAAAGGCAACAAAAGTTAAATGAATTTGGTACTTCAAGAAAAGTGCTGCTTCAAAATGGAAAAAGATTTATGATTTCCACAATAGCTTTAAAAAAGTAACAGTAAATTTCAAACACAAAATTTTCTTTAAGAAAGCATAATTCCCCTCAAAAAAGAAAACTAAACTTTTTTTTTTTGGTCTCTCTCTCCTCATGAAATTAGTCACATAAACCATGATTGAGCAACTGAAATCATCTTATGTATTTCAACTAATAAAGATTTCACTCCTTATATATGAGGATTTGGTCGTTCTTGGGTATGAATCATATAATAATAATGACAATATCATAAGTACATGCATATACATGTGTGCATAGTTTTATAGTATATGAGTGGTTGAATTCACACGAAATACCTTATTAAGTGTGCCATAGGTCCTACAATTTTATACTAGTATACAACATTTTTGTTGACCTCAAAAACAACCCATTTTTGTTGAAAGGCTCAATTTTCCATCAAAAAGGCTTGTGTAGAAATACGTTATAACCTATGACCTATGGTCTATGGATTTGTAAATTATCCAAACAAATACAAAAATATTGTGATTAAATTTGGGGACTAAGAGGTATACATAAGAGTGGGCACAAAGGTGTGGGACAAAGGGGGTGGAAGGGCCGGTCAACAACTCCCACTAGCTTACCAACAACAAGTGAAACGAATGTGGAAAAATGGGTTGTCAATACTTGTAATATTAATCCATTTTAATTTGTTAGTAATCTGTTTTTAGTTTTAGTTAAGCCATTTAAGCCACCATTTTTATTCCTCCCTCCAATCCCTGACCTTTTGTGAACTCCTCTTTAATTTATGGTCAAGTAAATATACCTACTTTTAGATACCTTTGACATTTTAGAGCTTTAGTAGGAAGACTCTTGTCACTCTTTTTCAGTAGAAAAAAGCTCCCTTCACCTTCCCCTTCATTGCACTAAAGCTATATTGGGAATGTGGGAATAACAGATTTTTGGAGCAAAAGAGAGCATCTGTTATCTGTTACTTTCAACTCCTGGTCAAAAGGGCTGCCTTTTTTGGCCTTTATTCTGATATTCACACTGTTGAGCCCCAGTTAGTTCTTGAGTGTGGTGGCTTGAGTTTTCTGCAAATGCAAGGAGAAAAGTTGGGTTTTTGATTCCAAGCTGAGATTTTTTAGCCCTATTTGGGGTCTTTATGCCTGTGGGTCTATTTCCATCTTCCAAAAATCTGATTTTTGATAGTTAGCTGGATTGAAGTATGCAATGGTAAGTGTTCTATGATCCATTTTTTGCTGTTCCATTTACGCATTGGCCAAGAAAATTAGTTTCTTGATGGCTAATGGGGAAGCTTTTCATTGTCATTGAGTGGGCTGCAGATATGGATTTTGAAGGGTTTAGTACCAGTACCAGTAAATTGCCTGGAAATAGAGTGACATCTTCTATACACACGCGTTCCAAAAGGTAGCCTTTGGATTTCTTCTTGTTTTATAATTTCTCACTTTCTCTTTCTTACTTCACTGCATTAGAGGTCTGCTTAACTGGAAAATTTGCTTCTTGGGTATGTTCCCAAAGTAGATAATACTTAGAGTTTTGTACAAAGAAACCTCTCTAGATCACATCTGTGCAACTATGTGTTGGCTTGATAAACTGGCCTTTCTTGCAATTTTCTTGGTACCATTGTGGGCTCAGCATTACTGCAAAATTAGGAAGCTTTTGTGGGAAGATTGGGAAAGGGGAAAGGGTTTTTGTATGATATGGACTATTGAATCTAGCATCCAAGTTTCTGAACTTCCATGCCATTTTCTTCTGTTCTTAAATCCTACTTCTTTAGTTCTGCATAAAGCATGTTTGTTTAGTTTAGAAGTCTTTGGTGTAGTCCGGATATGCCCCGTGGATAAATCTTTCCTATATGTGGTTTCTTGAGTGTTGTCTACAGCTTTATTCATTCTTGTTATGTGGTTTCTGTAATGACAGCTTCCCGGATAAACGAGGACCCAAGGAGGACATCGTGGATCCTTCTGTAGAGGCCTCTAATCTATTGAAGTTGGTAAGGAAACTTCCATCTTGTCTCCTGATATTAAAAAGCTCTCAAGCTACACTGTGAGTGAAATTTTGCAATGTCAAAATGTTGGAAAAGGAAGGTAAAAGTAAAAAAAAAAAAAAAAAAAAAAAAAAAAAACAGAATGGAACTCCCACATCATGCTGTCATGATCTTCTACCTAGCTTCCTGTATTCCTTGTCCTTCTCTGCTTTAATAGCCATTTCTCACTTTCTGTGTACTTGACCAAGGAAATGCTGAGACTGGATTCTTGTTTTCTGATATCTCTATGATTCGATTTATTAATTCTCTCTTCTGCAAACAGAAAGAAATAAGTACAACTCCTCGAGGTACCCAGCTTTTTCAACTGACATTCATTTTATATTTCACTAGGATATGAGGCACGCGAATGACAGTAATGTAAGCGAGAAGAAACAATCATCCACGGCTGAAGTTCAGAGTTCTCTGAGGCAAGAGGTAGCCGAACATAGATGATATATCTTTTTAGACAGTTTAATTGAATAGATTGTTAGTGTAATGGTCAAAACCATATCTCACTACAGATAATGCAGCTGGAGAGAAGATTACATGACCAAGTTGCAGTTCGATGTGCTCTTGAGAAAGCATTAGGGTATAAAACTTCTTCTCAAGATGTCAATGAAGTGACCTCAATGCCTAAGGTAGAACTCCTTGTAGTCGTAAAATGAACTATATAATATGCTATATATTTGAGGTACTTCCAATTTGAAGAGCTGGATTTCAGATATGTGAGATGCACATATTATTAGCTTTAGATATACTGTCAGAGTGTTTGCAAAATTTGGGGATTTCACACATTTATAACTCTCTGTGAAGCTGGTTTCGTAGTTTAAGGCTCAAATTGTCTATTGTGGTTGGCTCATGGTTGTTGTTGGATACTTTTCTTATATATTAGATGATCCGTTACCCTTAACTCTGTCATATGCTGATTGTACTCTTGTCAATTGATTTCAGCCAGCCACAGAACTGATTAGAGATATTGCAGTACTAGAGTTGGAAGTTGGGCATCTGGAACAGTATCTTCTCTCACTATACAGGAAAGCATTTGATCAACAAATCTCATCTTTGTCTCCTCCCACAAAAGATGTTAAACTAAAATCTCCTATAAGTACCCCAAGAAGGCGTCTTGAGTTCTCCAATTCTGATGTGATGTTGAGAAGGGAAAACTCTTCATCTCGAGTTAATTGTCAAACAGAATTAAATCCACGGAAAGAAACTAATAGCATGGCAGAAGACAAAATTAATGAGTCTGGAGTTAATAGAAGCCATTCTTCATTATCTCAGCGTTCAGCTCAGTCGAGCAGAGCTTCTCCACCAGAGGAGACACTGGGCAAAGCTTTGCGTGCTTGTCATTCTCAACCTTTATCTATGATGGAGGTAATTTACCTGAGGGAGACGAATTCTTGTTGCACTCTCTGAAATTTGAGGGGAGGAGTGAATTTGTATTAAATGTCTTGGAAATGTGGAGTGGTTTTTTCTGTACAGAACAATAAACTTTTTAAAAATTTGAGTCTTTTTTTATGCCTTCTTTGCAGTATGCGCAGAATGCTTCTTCAAATGTAATCAGTTTGGCGGAGCATCTTGGCACCCGTATCTCTGATCACGTTCCAGAGACACCAAATAAGCTGTCTGAGGATATGATAAAGTGCATGTGCACCATATATTGCAAGCTTGCTGATCCTCCACTGACAAATCCTGGTCTTTCATCGCCAACCTCATCTTTGTCTTCCATAAGTGCATTTTCTCCAAAAGACATATGGAGTCCAGGATTTAGGAATGATTCATCTTTTGATGTTCGGCTGGACAATCCTTTTCATGTGGAAGGGTTGAAGGAATTCAGTGGACCTTACAGCACTATGGTTGAAGTACAGTGTGTATATAGAGATACTCAGAAATTGGGGGATATTGAACCGATGTTACAGAATTTCAGGTGAGTTCAGTTGAAACTCAGGCACCTCATGGCACGACTTTAGCCTTTTCTTATTGTATAACACTCATTGAAGTGTCATATTGCAGGTCACTTATTTCTCGCTTAGAACAAATAGATCCACGAAAATTGACTCACGAAGAGAAGCTAGCATTCTGGATTAATGTACATAATGCATTGGTGATGCATGTAAGGTTCCTCGTTGATTAGAGCATCAGCGTTGTAGTTTTAGAAATCTATGAAATCAATATCTACTTTTTGGCTGATGATGAAGTTTTACTATTTCTGTGTAGGCATTTTTAGCTTATGGTATTCCCCAAAACAATGTGAAAAGAATCTATCTACTCTTGAAGGTTAGTAAACAAACTTATTTATTGGATAAGAGTTGCTTGATGGAGATGTTGTCTGACTTCATTGCTTAATCCAGGCTGCCTATAATGTTGGAGGTCATGTAGTAAGTGCAGATGTGATACAGAACTCTATCCTGGGATGTCGAATGTCCAGACCAGGACAGGTACACCTCATGAACCATTTTCTTGTTACATGTGCAACAGTTATGTTCTAAGCTGCACTATCAATTAACTACACCTCAAAACATAGACTCTCCTTGAAGTATATCCCAAGAGCATTTAGCATCTTTCTTTCCTTCTTGTAGTCAAAATGTCTGTACTTATTCCGAAATAATTGAATAATACTCCAGCTTAGTGATTTTTGTTCTTGGCACATCTCTAGTTCTATTGGTCTTGGAGAATTTGATACTTGAATTGCTGATAAAGTTCTCTATGGATGCAGTGGCTTCGCTTGTTACTTTCTTCTAAAGGAAAATTCAAGGCGGGGGATGAAAGACAAACATACGCTATTGAACATCCAGAACCCCTGCTCCATTTTTCACTCTGCTCTGGCAACCACTCAGATCCTGCGGTATTGGTCATAATATTGTCTTTTTGTTATCTTCTCCATGAGCATTTGAGTAAACAACTGTTTTTGCCCACCGGTCATGAAAATAGCTGTTGATCTCTGCTATGCACATTCAGTTGCACGTTTGAAAAAAGTTAAATTAGTGGTGACATGGAGGCCAATTTCCATAATCAAGTTCTTTCCGTACGTCAGGATCTTGTCATCTCAATGATGCCAGCCTCCTTGGCATCTATAAAATCGGATCTGGACTAAAAAGTCTCTAGAGACTAGTTTCATTCTTTTCTTCTGAACTTAATGATTGAAAAGAAGAAAAAGATGACAATATTTTGTAATCATTTGAGAACAAAATTTGATGACTAACGATTGAGTTTGTTTGTCTAACGAGGGAGTCAAATGTTTTGTTCCAGGTTCGAGTCTATACACCCAAGAGAGTATTTCAGGAGCTGGAAGTCGCAAAAGAGGAATATATCAGGGCTACCTTCGGTGTGAGGAAGGATCAGAAAATAGTTTTGCCAAAAGTAGTGGAGTCCTTTGCTAAGGACTCTAGCTTATGTCCTGCCGGTGTGATGGAGATGGTCCAGCAATCTTTACCGGATTCTCTTAGAAAGAGCATTAAGAAGATTCCACAGGGGAAGGGCCGCAAGAACATTGAATGGGCTCCACATAATTTCTCTTTCCGGTATCTGATAATGAAGGACCTGGTGAAATGACTACTTTGATGGTATGCTTAAGCTTAATTGAAGGATCCGGTTGTTTATTTCTTTTGTCTTTGAAAGGGGTCTCAATTTTTTTTTCTTTCATCCCTTCTGTATAAATGAATGGTAGTTTGTGTTAGAATGGAGGATGATCAAAGTTCCTATAATTTTGTCTCTGTGGAAGTGCCCTCCATTCTTTGGCTATTGCTACTAGAGCAAAGCTTACTTTGTGTGTAAGAACCAGCAATTTTGAGTTTCAGTCTCGTACATAAATCTAATTCATATTCATTGCTCAACTATCGCTGGAGTTTTAAAGTATTTGTTTGGTTGGGGCAAAAAAGACAAAGAAAACATATGTTAAATAAAAAGAAATAGTTTTGGATTCTGCATAAAATTGTAGATTAGAAAATTGGATAGATTAGTAAGGTTTCTCTCCAATTACATTTCCAGGTGGATTATAGAAACATATGGTTAGAATAGTGTGGTTGTTGGAGCAAGTAGCTTGAGCACAACCAAGTTCCAGCGAGTTTTTCCAGACCACTTGGGTGTAAGAGAAGCATTCGTGGCCCTGTATGCAGGAGTTGTTAGCATAATTGTAAAACTTCTTTTCAGCAACCCAGATATCCACAGCTATTTGTGGTGGTATTGCAACCAATCCTCTAAACAGGAGTTGAAGTTGGCCATAGTTGATGCTACTTAAGTTTGCAAAGCTGCAGCTACGTTTGTCCCTCTGATAGCGTGTAATAATGCTGGTGGCATTGGCGAGCATGATGCTCCATTTCAGAGGGCCAACTCCGACCTCAGCTCTTGCCTTGTTGTGCGCATCTAAGAACTCTTGGGCGGCACTGGATGGGGCAGCTGGAGTTGTGCCACCTGCAATTGGTGGTGCAATGCTCTGCGCTGACCCGTGATGTTCAGAGACAGCAATAAGTGATTGGAAGAGTAATGTGAGTAAGAAGAGCTTGGTCATTGTGTTTCTACTTTGAACTCGGGATAGTCAGTGAGCTGCTTTATATAAGTACAATGTCACTAGTTAGTTACTCATGTTAACATCACCATTTACTACAAAATACTTTAATTTGACTTCTCTACGGGCAATCATACCAATTGAATATTTAACTTGATAAGGATTGTCCAAGAGTATATAAGGAGATAAATAGCACATTCCTTAGCTAATGCATGACACTCTAACACCGCCCACGCTCACGCCTAGAAACTGGAACATAGAGTTGATTGCGACACTCTAACAACACATACGCTAGGCCTGACAACTAGAACATGCGTAATACAAGAATAGGGACGAGTTTGACTATGATACCAAGTAAATATTAATCTTGACCCTAACTATACCTTAAAAACTAGCTTACGGGGTGAGTATTGTCCAAGACGAGACGACAGTTCATTCTCTCAACCAATATGGAACCATCTACCAGCTCAATAACTAAAGTAACTCTTTCTCATCTGCAGAATTCTAATTAACTCATTGCAGTGGTGTGTATTTTTGTCCGTAACTACCTGCTGATATGCTAACTTGTTACGCGCTGTGAATAGAAGAAGTACAAAGAGAAATGACATGCTTCTGTTAACGGAGGGGTGAAATCAACTCAGCCATGTGACATGCTTCTCTTATTAACCATCAGTTCAGCACACCAAACTAGACAACATATCTGAATACCTGAAATCATTTGATGGCGAAAACAAGTTGTCCCCTATTTATTCTCATGCCCATGCTGCTTATTTACTACTAGGGCGTTCCCCAACGAAAAATCGAACCAAACCAAAAACCGACTCAAACCCAAGAAAAAAAATGGCATAATTTTCGTTTGATTTGATCTTAATTTTAAATTTTAAAAACCAACAATATTTGGTTCGGTTTAGGTTTTAAGAAAAAATAACCAAAAAAATCGAATCAAACCGATTATAAAATACCTATTTAAAAAGTATAGATACACATATATGTGTACACTTTTATATAAAATTCATAAAACCTTACAGTACATATTAATCTTTTTACACTATTGGTTTTTGATCTGGTTCATTGCTTTTATAGTAATTTAGTTCTTTGCCTTTATTTTCTAGTTTGATTTGTTGTCTTTATTTTGATAAGTTCAAGAATCTATTTCTATGTTAAAAATAACTTATCATTAATTGAGTGCTTAAATTATTCATCACTATTTTGTTTAATTATCATCAAAATATATAGGTAAATGACAACTCTTCATAAAGAGTAATTGGCTTGGAAGTGTTATGCTAGAATATAGTCGGTAGAACATGTGCATGACGTACAGAGTATTTCACATATTTATAGAAAACCCAACAAAAAAAATCGAAAAGCTGACAAAATCGACAAAAAACCTAATCGATAAAAAATTAATTCAATTGGATTGGTTTGATTCCAATAATAGAAAAATGGAGATTTAATTGGTTTGGTTTTTTTTAAGAGAAAAAATGACTCAAACCGAATCATGAATACTACTCATTTACTACTAGTCATCATTTAAAGAGAAACTCAAAGTCATAGAAACTTAGTGAAAATACAGAGGTTGGAGGAGATTTCTGAGACCCTTTGCATCTTAACGTGTTTGGATAAGAATATGTTCTGTTTTTGGTTTGATTTAGTTTCAATTTTAGTCTTTTATGAGTGTTTTGTTGAAATTTCATTACTTTCAGTTACTGCAGTAACTTTAGCATAATAAGTTGCTTAGTTTTAGGAAGAATTTCAATTTTGAAATTTTATTAAATTGTTTAAGTTAGTTGAGATATTTTAGGTTTTTTGAATTCTAAATTATGTGGATTTTTTGTTCCTAATTGGCTATTTAAAGTCTTGTTATGCTTAATAAAATCATTGAAAGACTTTTTCAATCAATACTTTAAATCCTTTTGCTACCCCATCTTTTAAAAAACCAACAATATTTAGTTTTGGAAGAGTTCTCTGGGTTTCTCGGAGATTTTCTTTTTTCCAAAATTTAATTGTATTATTTTTTTCCAACAAAACATGTTTGACCATTCGTGCTTCTGACTTGGCAAAAAATTACAGAAATATAATACTTTTTGGGATGGTCTTTAATTTCTAATCACACTTTCTCCATCGGGCAAAAGTTAAAAATATTGCCCATGAGGCAAGTGAGGAGCAACACGTATTAAATTTGAAAAATTGCAGGGGGCGCCCTATTTGGTCGCCCCCATTTAATCTATACCTATTTTTTTAAAATTTTTTAACTTGTACCCACTTTTTAAATAACTTCAGCCCCTTTCTCCTCCTCCTTCTCTTCCTTCATTTTCTTCTTTCTTCTTCTTCTTCTTCTTCTTTCTTCTGCTGCTATTTTCTATCTAGTCTACTAGTTTAGATAGAAAATCATCTTACAGTGGTTCTCAAGTCAAGATACTGGCAAATTTTTTAGCATTAAGAGCTTCTGGTACTCTTGGATCATTTGCCCAGTAAGTAGATAACCTGTGCACCTCAACCTACAATTATGGACATAGGTTAAATCATTTAAAGAACACAAAACAAATTATAATTAGTTCATCAATTATTTTAGTTGTCTACTTTTTCAAAACAATAACGTAGAAATAGCATATATAGGTTTGAAATTTGACCAAACAATAAAAAACATAGGTTTGAATGGACGTACACGGCACTTAGTGGAATAATTTTCATCAAGAGATCTTCTTTTTCCAGATAATCGAAATGACCTTTTAGATTTTGCATCTGAACCACACGAGGGCTCTAGGATGTGTGGCTTATTGAAGTTTCTCAATTACAAAGACAAAAATTTCAGCTCTACAGCTGAAGTTTGCCAGTTATAAAATAAAAATTGAAAAACCAAATAATAGGGTTCTTTCTCTCAAAGAATCACATGCAAAAATCACCTTCCATATTTTTAAGCGTGATTAGCAACATTAGATACAAGACGGAAAGGAAATTTCATGGACGGGGTAGCAAATAAGGTGATGAAATACAAAAATCTATACAATATTCCAAAAATCTAAACAAAGGAACTTTTTCAATGGGTATAGTTGAAATTCATTGAAAATATATAGATAAGTCAATATACAAAATTTGAGGAAGATTGGAGGTGATTTGGACTGGTTTTGTATCAAAATTCGTAATTAAATCGAGTTCAAAAAAGTCTTCTGCAACACATGTATCAAACATGTATCACGCATGTATCACACACACAGGTATACATGGATACACAGTGTGATACACAATTGATACATATGTGATACACAAATGATACACAGTGTGATACACATATCGTTTTTTTTCATGTTCAGCTTTTACTTCGAATTTTCAATTCAAACCACCTCAAAACTTCACCAAATCATCCCAAAACTGAGATTCAAGCTCCTTAAGTTGTGCCCAATCTATTCTAATAACACCCACTCAAAACAAAACAAAAATTGATATTTTTTGCTACAAATAGCTAATTGGCTAATTTGGCTAATATTAGTAATATTTTATCAATTGGCCAATTTTTGTAATGAACTACTTATAAATGGACATAGCTGGTAATTTCCCTATAAAATTCTAAATATCCATTTTGAGGGCTATTTGTGTACCTCAAGCTCTTTTGTTACGTTGGACAATCCAATTCTTAAGCCCAGCATTTAAGAAATTGATTTTGGGCCTAAACCAACAGTGCAATTGCTGTTGTTGTATAGCTAGCTGATGAGAGAAGGGTAGAAGGCACAAGGCCGAAGGTTTTTTTCACAGAACACAAGAATTGGAGCAAGATTGATTTTAAGGGGAACATGAAAAAGTTTAATTATATGGTTTAAATTTTCAGAAAATACTATGTTTTAGTGGTTATTAGCTAGTTGTAGCTATCATTTACTATATTACTTCCTATAGCTATGTTTTCAGATTTTTTAGAGTGTATTCGATATATTTAAGGTACTGTATTCATGAATACAGTAGCATTTCTAGGCTTGAAACAGGGGATTACAGCTAGACAGATTTTTGTATTTGAGTGTGTTCGACTATATTCATGGTGTGAAATATGGGATTACAGCTGGACAAATTATTGTATTCGACTATATTCACGGCGTGAAACAGGGGATTACACTGTTTTTAAACGGAAAGTGAATCAATTAACATGATAGACTCCTAATATAACTCAACAAACTCAATTGTAACACACAAATTTTGTATTTCCATTTATAGAAAAGATTCTCGACCGAAAAACACTCCAAAAACATAGCAATCTCCAGAGAAATTATATAATACATCTGAATAAATAAATTATATTAATTAAAAAAAATTTATGAATACATTCATGGAATATAGCGAG